GGCCGGGGCGGTCCGGCGGCCGCGCCCCGTTATCCGTTGCGTAACGCGCGTCAGTAACGGGCGAGGAGGAGGCCCGCGCGCGGCCCGTGCGCGAGAACGAAGCTGGCACCTCAGAGCGTTCTTCTCGCTTTTCTTTCTTGTGTGCCTTTTTTCAAGGTTTTCGGTTTTGGTGGTGTTTCGTTTTGGGGTCTTTTTTCCCCACTTATACCATAGGCCGATTTGGATATTCTTATGTGTGTTTCTCCGTTGAAATTTCCAATTTGGCGGTAACCTTTCTGCAGTTTATACACAGGCGTTGGCTCACTATGCGGTGCGTCTGAAGATGGCAGCGTCAAGCATCAGTTGCCCCCAGCCTATTATTCCTTGATACGTTTTCTCTTGTGGTTGTTGTACACATTTTATTGTTGTGGGAAGGAAAAAGCACAAGGTTAAGGAGGCTTTGTTTAACAACAAGGTGCTTAAAATGAGTACTGTGGCTTAGCTTAGATCTCTGGCTTAACGTTTCTTTTCCCACTTTACGCTGCGTTTTGTCGGCTGTTGTCATCGCATCTGGTTGATGGAGACCAATTCAAATTTAGTGTTAATAGTTGTGGAACTGTGAGCTCAGCTCCTCTAAACAATTCTGGCTTGCAAGCAGAGCTGATTGTTACTAGCAAAGAGTTTATGTGTTTTGGTTTTGGGTTTTTTTTTTTGTTAGAATACTATTTAAATACTCTCATAATATTTAACATGCACATTAAAACACGTAGAACACAGAAGATACAGCTGTATCATGTAAAGAGAGGAGACGTGTTAGGAGGGTGAACAGGCTCGCAATATTCAAGATGTCTCAATAGCCTTATGAAAATGAGGTGTAAACACAACAGGGTGTTAGCCAAAAGGGTGAGATTCAGGTTGAGAAGGTGCTGAACAGAATGGTGAAGTTCTCCTGTACTTGAAGCGTTTTCAGTGAAGCTGGTGAGGAGAGCCTCAAGACTACTCGGTGGTCAGCTCCATTGTCACTTGTGTTTCTAAAGCCCACGCCCCGCTGTGCAGGGAGATGGGTTTGAGAGACAGCTGGCAAAGCATGAAGGAGGTAGGGGTGTGGCATGTTTTCAGAAACTGGGGTGGGGGGGTGTTATCTAAGCTCTTGCTTTTGTACAATGTAACATCCCTGTGTAATTCGAAAGTTAGCCTGATGTCTTCAAAACTCTGAAGAGGACAGTCCCAACTCCCAAAATGTGTTGTGGCTCACCACTGATCATTGTCAAGCTTCCAACTGAAGGTGATGCAGTTTGGAGGCCAGCTACAAATCCATATGATTATGGAGTCTTCCTGTCATGTTTTCAACAGCTGGACAGTTCCCTGAAAGCCAGCTGTGACTGAAGGGCAGGGTTTTTTTTTGTTTTAAATCTGCTTGTGTGTTGTATGAATTCTTAGGCAGAGAGTTATCTTTTGTATTGCTTTTTGCTGGAAAAAAATGTTTGAGGTTCAAGAGCATGTTAGGCAGTTACTGCATATGTAGCACATCACTATGTTAAAGTGTCCAAGCATCAGCCTTGCTCCAAAAACTTGCTTAATAAGCTTTTGAAATCAACAGGTTGAAGTATTCTGAAAAACCTATTAAAAAACCCAAACTAAACCAACCCCAAACCCAACCAACCAAAAAAAAAAAAAAAAAACCAACCCAAAATCAAAAAACCCCAGAATCCAAATTTAAAGTATCAGTTGAAACTTCTGAATTGGGAGACTTGTGTGCAAAACCAACATTTTAAAAGAAAGATGTGCTCTGTTCCATAGCTGTGTTGCTAAAAGTATTGTAATAATCTAAACCATGCTGTCATAAATGTACCCATTCTGTTTCTCTTTCGTCAATTTAACGATTCACTGGTTGTAATTTTTTCCCTCCATGTTTGACAGGTAAAAAGGCATTTTTACATAGTAATTTTGAGAACTATCTGTTTTCTGTACAAATCTTCAGATAAGGAACCTGCAGTCATGTCCAGCTATTTTAGAGCCTCTAAACCCACAGGTATATGCGGTGTGAAATATTCTTAGACTATTTCAAGTTGGAAGGGACCCATAAGGATCATCAAGTCTACATATTGATAGATACATAGTGCAGGTTAGTTATTAAGTCACTGAACATGGAGTGTTGCTCTACTATGGGATATAAATTGGCTGAGTGCTTCATTTTAGGAAATGGCTAAGCTAGCTGAAAACAGGACTTAATTGCTTAATACAGACACTGTTGCATTTGTGACAGAGGGACTGGCTACACTGGTAAGTAACTAAAATGGTGGAAGAGAAGTGATGACTGATGAGTTTAGGGATTTTACATGTTTTGCTTGCGTTACGACTTTTTAGATTAGTCTTTCAGTATGGTATAAGTAACAAACGGGGGATCAGGGATTTCTGGTGTCAGGTGTTGCAGAGAAGACTACCAACAAATGCATCAGCTGTAGGAAGGATTAAGTGGCAAAGCATTATCCTTAAAATCAAACAAAAGCATCATAGAATCATTTAGGTTGGAAAAGACCTGTAAGATCATCCAGTCCAACCACTAACCTAACACTACCAAGTCTACCACTAAACCAATTAAAGGGAGAGTAATAATTCCATGATAGCTTTTCTTTTCTGGAGCAGGTGTGCCTTTGCATTCATGCAAACTTATTCTAGAAAGAGAAGACTAATTTTCCACCAGGGAAGAGTTTTCCTACTTCTTTTAATTCAGATTTTCTGATGCAAAATCCCTGAATTGTGGTAACTATCATTAAATATGTCATGTAAGATGCCCATCCTTTTGAGTTTTGTCCTCCAAAGTAGTTGTAACAGTTACCTGTATTAGAAAATGTAGTTTTTGCTGCTGTGTATAGACAGTGCAGAAATGCTCACTGGTGGCTACTGGACAGCGTACAGAGGTCTCTTCTTATATTTTACAAATCTCTGAAAAAACTTTCTAAGAAGTCACAAGTGCACATGGAGGTCAGATATCTTTTCCTCTGGGATTGTTCAGTGATGATGTGGCTTTGCCACTTGGGGTCTCTTTCAGAAAGGGTCCTGTCACGAAAGCAATGTTTGCTCCTTACCGGAACAGCAGTAAGGCTCCTGTGAGCTCTTTTTGCAATGTAAGAATGCAAGGCCTACATATGCAGTTGAATGTAATACTGTTCCTGGGGTTTTGTGATTCCAAAGAATGGATGTGCTTTCATAACTTCTTTGAATTGAAGTTTGTTTCTTTCTGACAAAGCAACGATGACACAAGGATGACTTTCATGAAGGTTCTTCAAAGGTCTTGCAGTTCCGTATTGGTGAAGTATGCAGAGGGTACTAGTCATAGACATTTATAAATGTTTTGGATATAGTTTATAATTTATGCTGTTAAACGTAAGATTCTTACAGCTTCCGATATGTTTCAGATCCAATGGCTGTCCCACCATCATACAGTGACTTGGGAAAGTCTGCCAGGGATGTATTCAACAAGGGATATGGTAAGTAATGTGAATGTAGTTTGATAACCTTTCATATTTTTTCCTAGGCATCTTGAAAGCAACTATAAAACGTTAGTAACCCAGAGATCCCCTAAATAGCTTGTGGTAGGAATTCAGCAGAGGCCCGGTGTGTCTAGTCCCTACTGAATTTGAACTTCCAACATGTGTCATGAAAATGCTGCAATAGGCAAAGAGTTAGAGGAGAAAGTTAAGAGTTTGACCTTCAGATGCGCTCCAGAACAGTCTCTGAAGAATGCTGCATTTTTTTAGCTTCCAGGTTTTGTATTTAGAGGCATTAAATCAGTCAAACTTGCGTAGATTGCTCTAGGAGACCGTATGTGGCAACAAACAGGTTCCTGAGGTAGCATGATCTTTATGTTAGTCAGAATAGCCTATTGTCATAGCTATAGTGGAAATAATTTCACAATATTTGCATTCCTCTCTAAAGAATTTAAATGGAGAAATTCTGATGTTAGTCCCTTTTCTGGGAGCAGTACTGAAAGTGTTGACTTTTTTTTTATCTGGTTTTGTGAGTTTGTAATAAAGATTGCATTTGTATCCGAAATCCACATGCTACATAAAAATAAAAAGCATTCTGGTCTGGTCTCTGCCATGCTGCAGTTCAGGCTTTGCTAAAATTCCACTCAAGTTCCCTGCTTTAGTGTCAGTTGTTTCAGGCTTTTCTACTCTGTGCAAGGGCCAGGTATTTCCCTAGATTTGTAGCAGATTAGAAAGAAGAGGAAGAAAGCAGTAGTATCTCTGTATACGGCACTGGTTGAAGTAAGTTGAAACTTTTTTTTTTTTTTGAGAAGGGGAAAAGAAAAATTCCTGCCCTGCAATCAGAAATATAAAAGTAAATTGCGTAAATCAGAAGAAATGGGCACTGTATTGATTGGTCCCAGACTGCAGGTAGCTACAGAAGGTGGAGATTCTTGATGATGGGTGACTGTTAGGACTATAAATTATATGAATCCACCCACTTTGAATTGTCAAAATTCCTTCATTCATTCCTCAGTAAGATCAGCAGCTTGGAAATAGGCTGTTTCGGGTCAGTGTACCCTACCTGCTGGACTTCGGGTGTGTTGGAAATAAGCCTCACTTGTATACTGCGGTGAAACAGATGCCGTGTACTCTTTTATTTTCAGGATTTGGAATGGTCAAGTTAGAGTTGAAGACTAAGTCTTCCAGTGGGGTGGTAAGTATTGGGGGCTTTCAACATCACCAGTATTGCAATGGAAGGACAAATTGCTGAACTGATTGGTGGTAATAACTTGCTAGCAGGTGTTGCTTCTCTCTTTCAGGTCTCATTTTAAAACCTGTAGCTGACTGAGGTATTTCTATAATGATGTGTGGAACTGACATTGAAGTACTTCTTTTCCTGCGGTGTGCAAGAATTTTCACACATTTTGTTGTGGACATGTGGCTTTCCTCCTGGTTCCCATTGCCACATCCCAAACATAGGAGTTTCTTCACCCTAAATAGCTCTCACTTCTGCTTATGAATGCAACTGAGTTTCTCTGCTGTTGTTGGTTTTTATAGGATTTTGAGTGCAGACTGACCTTTTATCCAAAAGGCCAAGGGGCAAATAAGAGCCACAGTCTAACTTAACTTCACATTTTCACTCATCTCCACTGTGCTTACAATGCAAGACTTACCTAAAACTAAATAGTCCTCCTGCAGTACCCTTTATGTAGAATTTGAGAGCATTTTATAGACATTAATTAAGCTTTAGCACTTCAGGTAACTAGAAAATACTGTGATGCCCTCTTCAATGATGGAGAGGTAGAGCTTCCTCATGATTTCACAGGAGGGCTGGCAAAACCAGGAGTAGATTTCATAATTTTGGTCTTTAACCACAGACGTATATTGTTTACTAGATAAGCTTATTCTTACACTAAGTCTCAGTTCTGTGTGTGCTACCACTTGATGCTGCTCTGGTTGATGAGCTGTGCTGCTTTTCAGCTTACTTCATAACCATATTTGCCTTAGCTCCCTCCTTCTCATGCATTCTTATCATGCAAATGGTGTAAGTCATTCCTTTTGTATTACTGTATTCTGTCTCAATTGAACTTTTGATGGATTACTCGCATTGTGCGCCAGGAGCATGTGGGTACGAGGAACTACATGGTCTCTATACTATGACTGCTGCCACTTACTGACATCTCATGATATGCATAGTTTTCCTGGTTGGAAGTTTTGAATTTGAAATAATAAGCTAACGGTTAATTATGCTGTCTTCTGAATGTGACGGAACATGAGCAACCATATTAAGTTCTAAAATGGGCTTTTCCTTTTCCATGCAACTTTCGTGTTGGATGTTTATCCAGCTGGTAAGAATAGTGACTGTTTTGGCATGTTGGCTCTTTATTGCTTTGTCTAGCGAGGTTTTCTGTGGTGCATACTCTCATTCATAAACTGTCCCATTGTTTTTAGTCATGTTACCATCCACGTCATAAAGTTTCACTGTGTCCATAGCTCTTAACCTGCTGTATGATCCATCTATGTAAAGCCATTTGCACTCTTTGTCCAACAATCCACAATAAGAACACTGTAAAAACAGCAGGAGGGAAAAATAAGATAAATACAGTATTGATACAGTTGTCTATTGCTTCAGCTTTTGTGCTTGTTAGTGTTTCTAGTGAGCATTCTGCTGCAACAAAATGGGGTTTTGGGGATGGAGACGAGGTTAGGAACAAAATGTGAGGTCTCATTCATACTTGGGTACTAGTAGTACCTCTGATTGTTATGATACAGAAATGCTTTGGGTGTTTTTCCTGTGGACTTGGAAAACAACAATGGTAGTGCCTATTGGTTATAATTATTTCATAGATTGCAAGTGGTTTGGCCTAGTGAGTGCGTGGCGTTCCTGAAGATGCCAGCCACCATAAAGTAGATGGTCAGTGAGAAGCTGAGCTTGACTGCTGATTCAGAGTGGAGCATGACATGGAGCCAGAATGAGTTTGATTTTCAGCTACAAAAAAAATTCAAGAAATGCTTCTACACCAGATGGTTTGATGAGATGTCTCTAGTTTAGACAGTTAAAGATTGATGGCAGCAGATGCTGACTGTGCGTGCCTTCTGCTTTCGGAAGCAGATCCAGTTCTGACACGTGGCAAAATCCTTTGGCTTTTGATCGTATGACAGTGCAGGGTTTTTTTTTTCCTTTGGCTGTGAGAAAAGCATTTTACAATCTTTCCTCAGCTTGGTCCGAGAAACAAATTAAGCCTTTTTAATTGGTTACCTGCCCTAAGATCAGAAGAAAGTTACTTCTGAATTCTGATGCAAGTTTGAGATGTCTTTACACTGAATTTGTGGAAGTCACAGTAGAACACTGCGTAGCAATTAAAGGATAGTCTAACGCATCCTGGTGCGCATCATGTGTTTTTGTTAGCTGGACAGATGTGTTATAAAACTGCTGTGTTGCTGTAGTAGTGCATTAGCTCAAGTAAGTGTCTTCCCCCCCAGAGAGTGTGTAAGGAATGTTACCTGGCTGTACTTCCCTGGCACTTCAGAACCATTTAAAGGCAGTCTTTGTAAACCCTGCAAAGTCCAGAATTGTGAAAGTAATGTATGCAGCATCCAGGAATACTGTTCTGGAATGAGACAGATCTGGAAAGTCAGAGTTCTGAAGCTTGGATGTGTTGGCAATGGATACTGCCATGTCTTAAGCACTGTATCTTTCAATATCTAAACTTCCAAAGAGATGTAACTTGGAAATGTAATGGCAGATTAATTATCTTCCTTCAAGGAAAATATTTGAGAGATGAGGACAGCTGAAATGAGATCAGTTCTCAGATGCTTCTGAAAACCTAGCTCATACACCTTGAGCATACTACTGCAAAAATATGCTTACTCATTGCTTTATACTCTGTTGTGCATGAAACACTGAGTAGGCTACCTCTGAGTTATTCCAGGAGGAGATATGTTTATTGAGACTTCAAGTCCCCTAAATAACAGGAAGCTCTGATGTGTCGGGGACTGGCCAAGCAGCATAAGACGGCATGTTACAAGATACATATTATACAAAATTCAAAGTTGTTAGTTCAATTACACAGTTACACTTCACTCAGTGATGGACCAGCCTGATGGAGAGATGTCAAGATGCAGCAGAAACAAGATGGTGGAATTTTTTTTTTTTTTTTTTTGGTGCCAGGGAGGTTGGTGGGATAAGTTAGGAAAAAAGTACAGTAAAAATTAAGAGGGGGGAGCAGGTAATCAAATCATGATGCAGATGAAAAGTAAGTGGTCAGGTCTTTATGTAATAGTGCTTTTTCCAACTTAAGCAAGTTCCAGTGCTCTATCAGCACACCTCAATAAAAGAAATACCAAGAACAGAGATGCCAAAAGGAGTAGCATTTTGTGATGCAAAAATATTTCTTTCTGGTGGGTATAGGGAAGAGGAGGAGGATTTTGAAGGTTCTGTGAAAAGGCCTAAGGGTAGCAAGTAGGAGTGTTGGCACTTGACAAGTGGAAAAACTGAATGTAAACATCAGAGTGCTGAAACTCATGTTATGCTCTTGGCAGGAATTCACTGCAACTGGTTCTTCCAACACAGACACGGGCAAGGCTTCAGGCAGTCTAGAGACCAAATGTAAGATCAAAGACTATGGCCTTACATTCACCCAGAAGTGGAACACAGACAACACATTGGGAACAGAAGTTTCCATGGAAGATCAGGTAAGAGGAAGTAGATACTCTGAAAATGCTTCTGCAGCTGGTATGGGAAAGGATTGAGTTGAGCAGAAAACATTGAAGAGTGAAAGTTGCACAAAACTATCTGGAGTACTAAAAAAGAAAGAAGTTGTGTGTATTTGCAGAACGCACAGACTGAGAGAGAGCATCGTGAATTTTAGGGGTAGGAGTGCAAGCATTCCCACAGCAGTGTGCTGCTATGTAATGATCCAAAGGTACATAGTTATTGCAGTTACGGGCATGTGCAATTAGCTAGCTGGCTGAATGAGTATCGCTGTTATCCACTCCAAATAGGAGTTCTTGTTTAAAGATGTGCTCTAGCTATGTAGAACTGTCACTGATGTAGTCATGCAGGGAAGACAAAAGAGGGGTCTTGTAGTTTTAAATGCCCTAATATATAAGGACTTAAGTTTGGCTGCCTTGAGATTGAATATATTTTGGAAGGTTGAAGAGAAAGATTAGTGTTTGCAGCTTAGCACTGCTTACGCAAAGGGTTGCTAGCATACAGCGCTCTCAAAACACACAATTCTTTTTCAAAGTAATAGCTTTATGCTTTTCGCTTAATGCCTGAAGCGCAAGGTAATGGTGCCAAAGGTAGTAAAAGTTCTGTGGTGCCCTCTGCCATGTATTGCCATCAATTTTTGTAGTTAGGGTTTTGGACTTTTACCTGTGCTTTAAAATGGAAAATGCTTGTCCAGCTCAAAGCAAGGGTGCGAAAGCTGAGGCAGGTACGCAGTTTGGCCTGTGAAGTGGTACTGTGTCTTAAAAGAATACCTGTAGATTCTGAGAGATTCTTGAGCTACTATATGGATTGCTGGAACTATAGGGAATAAGCAAACATGAACTGAACAGTTTTCTTTCTTTAACATAGTTTCTCAATTTTCTTGTCAACACTAGATTTGAAATCTTCCTGTAATTATGTATCTACAAAGCGTGTGCTATTATAGGGCCTCATTGTGGGGACAAAAAGTCCAAATTTTAATCCCTCATCAAACGGCATCTTCAGGTTTCATTGTAAAGCATGTGGGAGACATTATGGTTGTGTTTTGTCTTCTCTTTAGACAGGAAGCAGAGCTATAGTAGTGGAACAAATCACGTTTCAGCAGAGTTCTGAGCAGGCATCTCTGTTTTTCTTTGCAGTTGGCTGAAGGATTGAAGGTGGCTCTTGACACTACATTTGTACCAAATACAGGGTAAATATTTTCTGTTACTTTTATCTAAGGAGTGCTAGAATTTCCCATAACTTTTAATTAGAAATGCTTATTCTGGTCATTGTGTAAATGCTCAAAATTTACTGTAGAATATTCTGCAGGCACTGTAGAATATTTTGAATGGCAATGGATAATACCAGGCTCAGAAGGACAAGGTCTGCTAAAAATTATTCTCAGCTTTGGCCATTGGCAGATTTGTTGTTTTGCAGTAGCTATTTTATCTTTGCAACTTCCCTTAAACAGCTAGGTCTTACGTGGAACACTGTCCTGGTTTCAGCTGGGATAGAGTTAATTTTCTTCCTAGTAGCTGGTACAGTGCTGTGTTTTGGATGTAGTATGAGAATAATGTTGATAACACACTGTTGTTGCTAGGTAGTACTGACACCAGTCAAGGACTTTTTAGCTTCCCATGCTCTCCCAGGTGCAGAAGAAGCTGGGAGGGGGCACAGCCAGGATAGTTGATGCAAACTGCCCCAAGGGCCATTCCATACCATACGGCATCATGGGCAGTATGGAAACTGGGGGGGTTGGCCGGGGAGCAATGATGGGGTGGGGGTGGGGGGGGGTTTGGCCGGGGAGCAGCAATCGCTGCTCGGGAACTGGCTGGGCATCGGTCGGCAGGTGGTGAGCAATTACATTGTGCATCACTTGCTTTGTATATTTTTTTTTATCAACATTATCACTATTTTTTTCTTCCTCTGCTGTCCTATTGAACTGCCTTTATCTCAATCCACAGGGTTTGGGGTTTTCTTTTCCAGTTCTCTCCCCCATCCCATGGGGTGTCAGTGAGCGAGCGGCTGTGTGGTGCTTATTTGCCAACTGGGGTTAAACCACAACAACCACTTAACTTGTAGCATCTTTGTCATGGTGTTGACAGTCCTACTGCTGTCAACTCTGCCTTAAGAACACAAAGCAAAATTTTTTTTTTTTTCCCCCTGATGCTTTTGGGGCAGATGTCTGTGCACAACTGAATGAGGTAGAACCGCATAGGTATTACGATAGGCAGTGGAATAGCACTTTTTTGTCTTTCTCAATTATCATGTATTTATTTTTGGTAGGCAGTAGAACAAAGGAGGGGTGTTTATGTCTGGATAATGCACAAAGCTTGAGACTGCTTTGTAAATAATTACTGGTATTTCTCTATTGTTGGGGAGCACCCATCAGAAAAATCAGAGTTTGAAATAGTGCTTGGATGTAAGGAATTAGAACGTAAGTCAAAAATGAGACCCCAGGCCTGAGTATGAGTGGCAGGCAGCACGGTTTTCTGCTGTGTCTTCAGTGAGAGAAAGGAGGTTGGGGAGAGGATTAAGGTGATAAAATTTTGTCTCAGTTATGTTAAGTTTGAATTAATAGCAAAATAAGCACAAAGATGCACTGGAGAGAAAGGAAGAGGCTTCTCCAGCGGGACAGAAAAAGGCTAAGTGGATGATGTCTGGAGGATGAAGAAACTCATTTTTGATAGAGGAGACTGGTATCCAGCAGTGAAGCAGCAAGGAAAGCAAGCACTGCACTTGAAGGAACAGTGGAGAGAACCAAGCAGACAAGAAGTCACTGAAGGACAGAAAGGCCAGCTATCGGTGTGGGATGTCATGGATGCTCCTGAAAGTAACTGGTGATGCCATAAGGTGTTGCACTCACTTGTGGAGAAACAAAATTTGAAGCCTGATGGGTTTTAGAGCATTAAGCAGAAATGCTTTTGTCTTTTTTGCTTCTTGAGGATTTTAAGGCTTAAGACGGTGGAGGAAAAAGTGGCACGACGTAAATATATGTAATAGCAGTATTACCCTTATCCCATGTCCTTTTCAGCAGCTGTTAAGTTTTGAGTAGGCATTACAGTTATTTAATTAACTGGCCTTCAGGGACATACATATGTGAATAAAACTACATAGAATACATACTTATATACTACCAGGGATAAAATGGCCTGTTTCTCTCTGCAGGAAGAAGAGTGGAAAGTTGAAGACCTCCTACAAAAGAGAATATGTAAACCTAGGCTGCAACATAGACATTGATCTCTCTGGACCAACCATCTATGGCTGGGCAGTGTTGGGTTACGAAGGCTGGCTTGCTGGCTACCAGATGGCTTTTGACACAGCCAAGTCTAAGCTTTCACAAAATAACTTTGCCTTGGGATATAAGGCAGGAGACTTTCAGCTGCACACTAATGTGTAAGTATTACCTGAGACTAGAAAAACATTATCAGAGGAGCCAAACTAGATGAATAGCGAGCATTAACGGAGTTAGGTGAAATGTGGTGGATGGAAGGGGATTCTGATTTGTTTCAAAGTAATTTATATTCGGTGTTTTCATCTTCAGTATAACTAAAGCAGGGGCCACTTTCCAACACTTGGCTGTCTTCTGAGACCTTGTTTCAGGGTAATTTTGGGTTTTGTGTATATAAGATAGTGGCGTAAAGGCACTTGATAATGTTATTTGGAATTAAAATCTGTAAGTTTCAGCTTCTATTTTGGCACTAGATAAAAGAGCCTTCAATTAAGCTACTGTGCCTCCCCCACCCAACAGAAGGCTTCTGGCTCAGGAACGCCTGAGGTGGAGGAGAGGTGTGTGTGTGTTGCATTGTGCTTGAGTGTTCCCAGCTGTCATAGCAATGTAGCTCCAGTCCTGGCATTCTGAGGTTCTGAGACTCTTTGAAGATGGTGTATTTCAACAACTGCAATGTAGTAACATTGTTTTCTGTCTCATCGTTCCCATAACTGATTTAAGGCTCCTTCTGGCTTTGTCCCTTTATGTGTTATTGCTTTCTTAAGACAAGCAAGCAAGTTATCTTTTTGGGTTGGTTTTTTTTTTTGTTAGAACCTCAAACCATAGGTCTCAGCTGTTGGAAAGTCTTCTTCCATTCTGCAAGCAAAACTTATGTTTTGGGTAAAAATAACATGAGCAGGAGTCTGCCAGCTCCAGCTAGGAAGTAGATGAGCATGGGTCCAGGGAAGTACTGGAGCTTTGCTTCACCTTAAGAGATAATGATCAAGTGATTGTGGGGAAGGGTTAATCTAAAGAGTTACTATTTAATAAACAAGGCAAGGCTTGACACACTTGCATCTATTACAAACAGGAATGATGGCACCGAGTTTGGTGGGTCTATTTATCAGAAGGTTAATAATAAGGTTGAGACCTCAGTCAATCTTGCATGGACAGCTGGCAGTAACAACACACGTTTTGGTATTGCTGCTAAGTACCAACTGGATGAGAAGACTTCCATTGTGGTAAGAATTTTGTTACAGGAACAAGTGTTTCAAGCTCCCTTCAACACTGAAAATTTGTGGTATAAAGTAGTTGCTTTAAATAGTTACTGAGAAAGTATGGTAGATGGCAAACTGTGGCTTCTGTTGTAGTTCAAATTTAAATTGGGACCTCGCAGGTCATATTTGTGAAATGATGGAGGAAAAAAAAAATCTAACACACTGCTTTGTCCGTGGTGAAATAGTCACTAGTGTGCTTGGAGCCTATGCAAAATGTGTTTTCAGAAGGTAATGAGAGGATGCAGCGTCCTATTGATTCTTATCTAATGCATAATGTAAAACTGTACTATAGTAAAATGATGGAAGTTCAGCTGAGCTTTACAGCCTTCTCCTAATAACCAGTTAACCCTTGAAGGTCAGCTGAGGTCCTGAGATAAGTGTGGTTAACCGATGCCTCCAAATATGTTAGGGGCCAAAAAAAAAAAAAAAAGGCGGGTGGATGGGAAAGAGAGAGAGAGATTCAGGAGACAAAACACGTCCCCAGGGAAGTGACAGTGAATAAAAGTAACTGTGTACATACTAACACTAACCACTGAAGTAGCAAGCATTTGTTATGCTTCAAAACAAGAATTAGTTCCAGGACACTTCAGCCAAAATTAAAGATGGGAAATACTATTGTAAACAGCTCAAAACTTAGTAATGCAAAAATGGGTTTGCATATTCATGTGTTTATTGCTCATTTAAAAAAAAAATCACTACTAAGCAATTTGTGAACAGGCATCTGTGAACAAGACCGGCTTCATTGGCTGCTAAGGGACCGTAGTGATTGGCCCTTTAAAGGCTATAAAGAGGCAATGCAGGACAGGGTGGCATTTTATGTAGACATAATGGGTCACAGTTTGAGGGAAAGATTGGAACTATTACTTAATCCTGTTACAGCTTAAGCTGGAAACTCTTGAGGAGAAAAGGAAAAGACTGGAATACACCTCTACTAGAGGCTAGTCTACAAGTAGCTGAAAGAGTTAATGCATAAGCCACCTTCTCAGGGTAATGGGACAATTCTATCAATATTTATACACAGTGTATAAATACTGCGATTTCTTTTTTTCCTGTAGGCTAAAGTGAATAATGCCAGCCTGATTGGAATTGGTTACAGTCATGTCCTCCGACCTGGTACGTAAGTCCAACTGGTAGCAACAAATAGTATTAGTACTACACTGTGGGTTATTTTACTGTCACCTCTAGAACAGAATAGACAAACAAATTAACTAGAAATCTTAGATAAGCTCATAGAATTAAAGGATGTGTATGTACAGCAGCTCCTGTAGCAACTAAGATGCATTAGTGAGCCTCTGGTACTGGAGGGAGGGCATTTTACAGGGACATTGGTGTATGAAGGGTCTCATTACTTGCTTTCCTAGGTGTAAAGCTGACCCTCTCAGGCCTGATCGATGGCAAGAATTTCAGTGCTGGAGGTCACAAAGTTGGGCTGGGATTTGAGCTGGAAGCTTAATGCAGCTTTAAGTAAAACAACAGGTGGTGCTCTGGAAGACAAAGGAAAAGTGTACCCAGCGTGTTTCAGCCTTAACCTTACTCTGAAATGTCAAGACGTGTGAACTTTCTACTCTTCCAAAGAATCATTTTAACGCAACACTGAAGTGTAGAGAGTGCCAGCACATCAAAGGAAGATACTTGAAGGCATGCATGGAAGTTGTGATGTTCGTGCCACATTTCACTTCAGTTTCCTGTATTTTAAATATATTCCTAAAAATCAGAAGAAAATCCCACCTCTCCCTGTTATTGTATTGCATCCTGCATGTCCTGTACTTCACAATCTTATAAAAGGTGGTCTCTGTGCTGTAGTGGAAATTTGGGTTTACATCAGAATGAAATAAATTGGTCAGAGTTGGAACATAGTGTTGGTGTGTCTTGTCTCAGTAAGGTTCACAAAAAACTATGCTCCACCCGGCTGTGCTTTTTTTTTTTTTTGGTGCAACTTTAAGCATGGTTAACAGATAATCTGCAAATGCTTTGTTAAACTGTATGCATACACTGAAGATTTCCTTCTCTGTGGTCTCTGGGATAACATCCTTACACCTCTCATGTTTTAGAGACCTACACACTGAAAAGCAGCTTTTTCATTAAAATGTTATTGAGGGTATCAAAAAGAGCAAACCAAAAGTTTACATGTTTTAGATAATTTCGTTCCCATACAGGAAACAAGTATTAGGTAAGTACAACCGTTACACTTAAGGAAAAAAGTGCAAATCAGCAAAGTTAAGAAATTAATTTCACAGTTCAAGTATATTAGGAAGGTGGCATCTACCAGTGACTGTGCAAGCTGATTGCATGCACTGTCCACTGGAAAGCCTAAAAGGCAGCAAAACAACCACAGGTGATGCCTAAGGGGAGATACATCAGGACAGAGATTATCTGCTGTCTTAAGGCACGATTAAGAACTTTTTCCAAGCAGTTAGAACAGGCTTTTCCTACTGTATCTCCATGAAAAAAGTGTCCGAGAGGTGGCTACTAAAAGCTAGGCCATGTGTATCACATAAGCAGTAGGTGACAGTAGAAGGAGGCACTTGAACTTCCCTTCTCAGAGGCAGCAGCTTTTCACAGTTGGCTTCCTGAAGCAGCATGTCTTCAGAGGCAACCAAAGTGATTTTACATCTGGGTTTGTTCTGGACTGTTTGTTTCTTCTACCTGAAGCTGCAGCCAGCTCCAGTCTAGAGCCTAAAGAATAAACAGTTAGAACTGCAAAGTTCAATGCTAGCTTACAGTTGAGATTTTGCCAGAATAAAGGGGAAGTGATTTAAAAATTTTACTGTGAACAAATGGGTCAATAGTGTTTCATGATCAACCATGTGACTGCTGTAAAGAAAACCCTTAAGCTACTTATTTTCTCCAATATCTTACTTTCTTTTCAATATTCTGCTTCATTAAATAAGCATCCCTGCTGACCAATGTATTGCCACCACAAGACCATCCCAATATTGAGTGCACTTTTGCAGTATCTTTGTGCAATAGCCAAGCGCCTTCCCCGTTGCTGTTCGGCACAACTTAAGTCCCCAGCGCGTGGCTCCATTTCTCAGCAAGCAGGGAACACGTCAGTCAGCAGTTCAAGTTGGGGAGGGGGTGCTTTCTGTATCCCACAACTCCTACTCTCCCCTTGTCCAAAAGAGTCAGATGCACATTTCTATTAGCCATATTACTTATTGGTGGCAAAGTTACACAACCACAAGTTTGAAGCCATAAGCTTCCCCAGTCCATTTATAGAAGAATATCAGTGACATTACCATGAAGCTCTGCTCCTGATCCTTCATTGTGTCATGCATCACATTTTCTAGTTGGCTACAGAGTTTCTGTGATTCCAGCAGTAGCTCCTCGCTGAAAGGGACAATTATTACACAATTATTTTCCATGGCAGTTTTGTTTAAAGAGATGCTGCCTCTACATTTAATTAGTATTTCTGGCAGGTATGCTGCAGAGCACTGAAGAATATTAACCTTTACCACTCAGCTCATAAGCTAGTAATTCATATTGCAACTGGGGCAGTCAGTGACATCCCCAGATTTACTGGGACAGGGGAAAGGAAGCACATTCCAGGTTGGAGTTGGGTTCTTCTTACATGGAGTCACTGTTGCTAGAGAGAAAGTTGCAGAACAGCCTATAAACTAAAGGATTAAGCAACATACTAACAAAGGTCTGTCATTCCAGCTGGTGACCCAATTCATTTAAGCAAGCCATGCTTGGTTATAGCAGTCTCCGTTACGATATAGCTCAGCTACTATCACCTTACATGACAGTGCTCCAACAATTCCTATTGGCAGTGTACTTCAAGTGAGCCCAACCATTCCAGATAAAAACAAACCCTTTATTACTGAGGCAGGGGGAAGTGAAGCTATACGTTATTCCCCATTTTTCATAAAGAAGATTCACAAGCCCCAGGAAGTCCAGCTACTAGGTAGAAAAGACTGCTAACAATGGAAGCTGAACACAAAGTGTAAAATGTGAGAAAGGCTGCGTATCATTTCACAAAGCAGGAGCCCCAACTTTGTAGTGCTGGCATTAGCAGCTACAGAACTCCAGACTTTGCCTCACCTTTTCCTGACAGATTCTGATAAATTGTAAGTTCCAGAAGGGACCTGCAGCAGCAGCTGACCAGGGCTACCAAGACGTGATGTGTTCATGCTCTCTGGACTGCCAGTAACAGGACCACGTACCTTACTCTGAAGAAAACACAGGACATTCAGATTGCAATTATTTCCACTAATTTCCAGCAGCCAGCAGTATGAGACAGCCTGGAACTCAGTTTTAATACTAATTCAAAATAGCAGAGAAAAGAACCATAGGACATACTAAATTTACTATTCATTATTTCAGTAGCCTGTGCTACAAACTGTATTTTCAGGTTAAACTGGAGTTTTTATTTAACTTACACAAGCAATCTTCAGCAAGTTCCACAGTTCTTTCTGTCGTTTCTCCTGAAGCCTAACAACTGTTTCCTCGTCTTCATTCATCAGATTCATCACTTTCTCCACTCTGGGGAACAATTCCAGTGCCTTCTGCTTGCAAACTACAGTTTTACTATTAAAAGAAAAAATCAGATCACACATGGGCAACTGCAGTAAGGGCACATTTCTCAGGTTTCTTATTTTCTGTAACACTCCGAGATCTCATTAGCTATACGCACTGGTTTTTAAACCTCTAGAACAAAACCTCTTGCTAAAAGAGAAAATGCTTTCTCTCAACCATCAAGAAAAGCTGACTCTACAAAGCTCACCTGAGCTGAGCATAAATGACTCGGACTTTTTTTTCAAAGGTCTGGATTGCTTGTAGGAGCAGTCGTACTATTTCTTGGCTGTCACCACTTGTCCTCTGATCTGGAATGAGAGTCAGAGTATTACATAGAAAAGTAGGCTTACAGGACAGAGCGGGGAGATTCTTAGTGGCTTGTTTCCACTGCTTCTTCAGTCTTGAAACATCCCAAGTTCAGGCCATGCAAGTCTGAGTGGGGTGAACTGCACTGGACTTTAGCCACCTTCTTCAAAATGATGAGAATGGGAAAGCAGAGTTGGTACAGTGGGTCTAATGCCTTGGGGCTGTATAGGGGCTGCTCAAAGGAACAGCAGAAGCAGCAGCATATGCTTGCAGCAACAGCTTGCTCTGAGAAGAGCTCCAGAGGAGTTTCAAGAGGAGCTCAGAAGGTGTCAAGAAAGCAAAGCTAGGCTAGTTTAAAATCGACTCCCTGACTCCCCTCTCCAAGAAAAGGCGAGTCCAGTAGAGTCCATGCGCAGCTAGCGTATGGGCAGGCCTAGAATGCAGAGGACGTTTTCTCAGTGCTCATTATTTCATCTCCACAGTTATTATCCACACAAAACAAGCTGACCGTGAGCTAAAATGTCTTTTACCTCTTGGCTTCTCTCTCAATCTCCGGTACAGCTCTCTGGCTTGTTCTTCTCTAGAAGAAAAAGGCACAGAACACAAAGGACTTCTCTAGAACCTAAATTACAAACAAGTAGTTCCAGAACTCAAATCTTTTATATACCAGTCTGCCATTTCAGACTGATGACAGGTAAGGAGTCAAAAACTGTCTTTTAGTGTCAAAGTCCTCCCAGTCCCCCATACTTCAGGCTGAAGAGATAGCACTTTCATTGTCCTGCAGTTAAATAAGCTTAGCTAGCAATACTCCTGCATCTGAAGTTCAAGGTAGTTCAACTCACAAATCCTCCAGTGTTCCTCCTTGTTTACGACCTAGCGGGCTTCTCTGCAGGTCCACAATGTCTGTCTGCAGGGCCATCATCTTCTTCACTAGCTGTTCCACATCATCCTCCTGAAAGCAGGGCAGAACGTAAGCAATGGGACAGTCTCATATGCTAAGAGACACTACCATTCATACCAGCTCTTCCTTTCTCATTCGCATTTCTAAACACTCACGTCAGCAAGATGCAAACAGCAGCCCTGGACAAAGACAAATGATAATATGAGTAATTTCAATTCAAGGAAATTAGCTTGGTGCTCCGGGATAAAACAGCTTCCAAGATTTTTTTAATAAAAAATTCAGCCTGCAACAAAGAACCATTAAAGGGTCAGACTTTCCTTTTCCTTGGCTATTCCAGATCTCTTTTCTCATCCTACCCACCACCGCTTTTCCCCCTTTCCCTCAGCACACAACTACATCCACTCCTGGCACCCCAAATTCTGCTTTTCACTTCAACTCATTCACATGCAGAAGCTGCCACTTGCTAGACAGTCATTCTGCCCTCTGCTTCCTCCCAACAGAGGAGAACCAAGTGTTGGAAAAGAGTAAGATATCGACTTTTTGCTCCTCATCTGGGAGCGACTGTCCTTGGCCCTACTTAAAGGGGTTACACCGTCTTCTGTAGGAAGACTGAATGCCTTACTGGGAGCAGGTGTGGAACGTGCACCAGGAATGGGAAATTGTTGCCCTTTCAAAATTCAAGACTGATGCTTAAAATTCTTGTGTTCAGTCACCTAATCGTTCGCTTTCCTATTCAGTTTAACCTATGTTCCATATCCTCTTTTCAGCTATCCTGGCTCCAGGATTGGGTTAGCAGGACATCCGAGTGAGCGCAGCTGCTGCAAAATCTCTTGCATTGCCCAAGATCTCCCTTTCTCCCCTAAGCCTTACAAACACAAGCTTCACGAAGTACTGGCAATGGACAAAAATGGTGCCACCCAAACCAAGGCAATGTGACATCTGGAAGCAGCCCAGATGCAAGAAGTTTCTATTGAAGGGATGACAATGAAGAAAAAAGAAAAGAAAAGAAAAAAAAAAAGGAATGAAAAACAAGCCTCTTTTTCTTTAGGATAAGCAGTTAGATTTAGAAACATACCCGCCCACAAAGTTCCACAGCTTGCTCCATCTCTTTCCAGGCAAACAGCAGCTT